AACTGGCCAGCCAGGGGCAGAGCGATCTCAGCAGCCCCGAGCTGGTGTCTCTCTTCTCGGATGTGCCCGGCCACAGTTCTGCCGCGGCGCTGGACACGGCCCTGGTCAACTCTGGCATCTTGACTATTGACATGGCCTCTGTGAACTCCACTCTCGCAGGAGGTCTCCCTGCCGAGAACAGTAACCATTCCTTAGGGCCAGCGGCGGACCCCCGGGCCCAGAGGGCCCCCAGTGACCTTCCCCAGGGACTGGATACCTCTCTCTTCTTCGGAACCTCGGTGGCCGCTTATCAGCAGAACCCCTTAGACATGGACGATGTCCCCGGGGGAAGCGTGGGGGGGCTCTTTGGCTCCCTGGCCCTGAAAAACTCAAGCCTGGAGCCCCAAGCTTTGACACCCAGCAATAAGTTAACCGTGGACACGGAAGCTCTGACTCCCTCCAGCAAGCTTTGTGAAAACAGTGTCTCAGAACTGCTGACCCCTGCCAAAGCCGACTGGAACGTGCATCCCGACTCTGACTTCTTTGCGCACGAGGAAGAGACCCAGTTTGGATTCTCCAACCCAATGGGAAGCCACGGTTCTCAGAAAGAAACAGATCTCATCACAATGACTGGCACCCCGTTTTTGGTATGAACCTACTCTGCCCTGCCTGCCCAGCCTTGCCCTGCCCTGCCCTGCCCTGCCCTGTCGTGCCCTGCCGTGCGGCTCACTTTTATCACACTCTGGTCTGAGGCCGTTCTGGAAGGAGTGCTTCTGTGCAGTCGTTTCTTGCTGCTTTGCAGAGGAACGCGTCTGTGGACTACAAATTTAGAGATTTACATTCTCATCCTGGGCCTGGAACTCATGAGTTCTGTGACCTTCAGCAAGTCTCCCAACCTAGCTGAGCCTTAATGTTTTCTTTTCCTTCTAAAGGAGGTGGTTTGGTCAGATGGCTTCTACTCTCTTTTCAGGACTTTAGGCTCTGGATATTAAGTGTTTTTTTTTTCCTTAACATTTTTTTGTGACAGCCCAATAATGATATGCTCTTATTTTGAATATAAAGTAAATTAAATTATGTAATAGTGAATATATACTTTGCACTTGACTTCATCAATTGTAAATCCATGTATCATATTATTTGTTTTTATCTTTTTCCTCTTTTAGTATTTTCAAGGAGCTCCAGATTTTATTTTATTCATAAATATTCAGTACTGATCTTCAGAATTCATTTGGTCTTTAGAAAAAAATTATTGTAATAGTTTCTTTATATCAATTAATACCCGTTTTAAGTTCATATTGTCACATAAATGCTTCCCGGTTTAATATTCTTTAACGTTCTGAAATTATTTTAACTTCTATGTCCCATTTTCCCTCTTTTCTTAAGAATCTTTTCATTGAAAATAATTATTTTTGAGTAGAATTTGCCACATCTCATCTAATTTTTACTGATTGTGTCCTTTGTGTTTCCTAAGTTTTCCTAATTTAGTAGTTAATGACTTGATCATATTTAAATATTCTTTTTGCATGAATGTTTTATAGATCACCCTCTGCTCTTTTATTAATTTGCTTATGCTGTCTCCTTTCTCTTTTGGTGATACTGAGAGACTTTACTGGTCAGGACGTTTGTTTGTTCTTACTTTTGCTTCTAATATATTGAATTGTTCATGTACAATCCTTACCAATTAGGGGAAGAGGAGATGTTTAGAACACTTCAGAAAATGTAATAAAGTATTATCCAGTGCCAGAATATTCCCTGAAATGATGGTAAACTAACAAGACAAAGTAACAAAGAGATTTGTGTTGGCTGTTTTCATTGTTGTTATTTCAGACAGCTTTTGATGGTAGTAGGAGGCTGTGTTGTGGAATTGCGGTCTAGGACTTTGTCATAAAAGATACTCAGGGTCCAGTTATTGCTCTGTGGTATTGGAGAGATTCTCTTGGAGGTACTGGTCTCACTAAAGTCAGTTTCCTGTTTACTGATTCGTGTGTATGCACATGACTAAACATTCCCTAGCCTTTTTTTTTCTCAGACAGTTTTCAACACGTAAGAAAAAGTATGTATTTCAGTACATTTTCATGACTTCATATGCTCTTTTTACAATCTCAGTTTTTTGTGTTGTTCAGGAAAAATAGTCTTAATTCAGTCCTGTTGATATTTAAGTTAATAAAGTGTTGTGGGTTTTAGAATGAAACAGGAAAGGGTCTCTTTCTTAACTTGAATATTTTTCTCTCCCAAATAGTTATGGGAACAGTGTCCACGTGATTATCGCCATGCTCTCCATTTGATTAGTCTGTCAGCATCCTTGTTCTGTTTCTAACATCAGGCTTCTCTCTGTGACTGTGGAGCCTCTGATTCTTTCAACATCTGATAAAGGAGCAGAGGGTGATCATATCCTCTGTGATCTGAAGAGAACATTGTTTATAGTTTTCCAGATTGAAAGATGTGAAAGATTGAATCTCAATATTGTGTAAACACTGTACAGAGAGTATAGCATTTTTAGTTTATGGAATATTTCCATAACTTATGTCTTTTATTTTTGTTCAGAGCAACCCTGTGAAGTAGTTTTAGCAAAGTCTGTGCATGTTTCATACTATAGTTTAGCCAACTCACATTCCAACTGGTTTCGGCTATGACTGACAGTTCTATATATAGCTTCACAGAAAAAGAAGTTTTTTTCACCTCTCCTGTTTGCAGCTTCCAAGATTCACTCTCCTCTGTCATAAGTGGCTGCTTTGTTCCAACTTAATTGGTTTCTGTTAGCTTCTGCTTATTTTTCTATAGTCTAATCCCTTGCCTATGCGTCCCAGTTCTTCCTTATCTTTCTTTTACTTTCTTTCTTTATTTAATGGGTAGATATTTTTCCTGTGACCATCCCTTCACTATTTTCCTCATGGCACATTTTATTTCAGTGCTAGCATTCACTGAGTGTATACTGTAGTTCTGTGTGGACAGTAAAAAGCTATTTTCTGAGCTTAAATAATACTGTGTGTATATATAATTCAACACATAAAGGAGATTATTTTTATGCTGTTCAAATGAGAAGTGAATTCTGTTTCATTATTTCTATTTAAAAAGTTTTTTGCCAGGGAGTTCTGCTAATCCTTTCTTATTTGTTCTAGTGTACTAGTCTAGTAGCATTTGCATGTAGATGTTTATGGATGACAGACTTTGGAAATGCACTAAAAATTTGCCACTATGAAATGTTTCCTTGTTGTGTGTATGTTGGTATTTATACATACCCACAGATACTCACAAATATTTTAAAAATGGTTGTACTCATTTAGTGAAATGAAAAGTAGGCATACTTTTATAAATCAAAGAAATGCTTAGAATTTTATTTTGTCTACCCATTTGACAGTTTTCCATGTTTGTGTTGAAGCTATTTGTATTCATAAAATATATTTCAAAAGTGTTATTCGTTTGAAAGTTCTTAAATAGACCACTATTTTTGTGTTTGGCAAATAAGTCTGTCAAGGATGAGCTGAATACACAAGTCATGAAAATAAAGTAAATTTATAAACATGAAGATAAATTAATGTTGTGATTTTATTTATTTATTTATTTATTTATTTATTTAATTCCTTAAAGCAACTTTTTTCCAATAAGAAAGCATAAACTCTATTTTCCTACCTGCTCCTAGCAATTTCAAAGGGCAAATGCTACTTTTCTTAAAGATGTCAGATTTGATTTGTTTCACTGAACTAAGTTCTTCAAATTCTTTCTATCTCAATATGGCTTTATAGAAGAATGTTGAACAGTTTTGTGTTTTTAAGGTAAGGTTACTTTCTTTTGGGATGATAAAATATTGTCAGTACTCCTTTTAAATAATAGAGTAATAGTGAGTAGTTAATTTTATCATTTTCTTAACCTTTCCCTTTGCTTCTCCTTAATTTTAGGCTTATTTTATTCATTAGAAGATCAGTTACAAAATAGCTTAAAAGGAAGTCTGTCTCTAAGGGCACTATTGGTCATGAAGTACAAGTATATCGGCCTTCAGTTGAGGATGTGCTGCAGCGCTTGGACGTTTGCCCAGCTGACATGAAGAATTTGATTTTTACCACCACAAAATATTTGTGTGTGTGTGTGTGTGTGTGTGTGTGTGTGTGTGTGTGTTTATATAGATGCACTTTTGTGGGTCTTGTATTTGCCCGTCAATATAATGAAAAAATTATTGAGCAGTAAGCATGAATCATAGTGTTTGATAACTTTGCTTTTATGTTCCTTTTGAGGAAACAAATGTGAGCACACAGTATAAGGTGAATATTGCACTGCATGTATTTCAAATTAATAATTATTTATGCACATAAAATATCGAGGATTCTTTGAACAGAAATATAGATACACATTATATCCTTGACCTTTGAGCAAATCACACTTGATAGGAGGAGATAGAAAATTATATTATACAGTTACAGACTAAAAACAAGATTAATTTGGTATCAGATTGATGGAAAGGTGGGAACAAAAAAGCCGAGCCTGTGAAATTTGTTATGAGAGCCAGTAAATCCTTTAATAGAGAAGTTAATGCTAATGATGTTTTTTAAAAAGGTTAATTTAATAGGCCTGTGTAGGTGTGCAGAGAAAAACTGGCAAAGCAAAGCAGACAAATGTTCCAGTAGTTCCTTCCAGTGAAGACAATGAAGTGTGAAGCCAGGGGTGGTGGTGATGAGTTTGAGAGAGAAGGCAATGAGAGAGATTTTTGAGATTTCTCTAGCACATGAAGAGGGATTAGAATGTAACATTTTAGCAAGCTAGATATAGAAGTTATTATAGAAAGACTGACAAAAGAAACTGGGAGCGGTAACTCAGGTTTCCCGGGAATTGTAATACAATGAGAGGAGTAAGAAGAACAAACACTTTAGGAATGAGTATAGAAGTTTGGTGTATTTAATTAAATGACAAATGATGACACAATTATTCATAAGCTGTCAATCTTGTTTATTCAGGTTCTGTATAGCAGCAGAAGGCTACTTCCTCTTTCTGGGTTCCTACAGGCATTCTGTGAACTACCTCCATGGTTCTCCTTGTTACTTTCCCTTGAAGGACGAGAGGCATTTTCATCAGCTCTGCAGCTGACTACTACGGCAATGATTGGTCTTCAGGACTGCTAAGTACTTAAATTGTGGTTAGTACAATTGAGAATTAAATTCCTAATTTATGTTTAAGCTTTCATTTTAAAACTGTGGCAATATAAAATATTGGTTCTCTGTTATTATATTGTTCTGGGAGGATTACATTTCACTTTGGCCATGGGAAATATTTTCTTTTGTTCACTTTTCTCTTTAAAAGAATTTTTAAATTTAATCATGAAAAACTTGATATCCAAATTGAGGTATATTGTTATTGTAAAATAATAACCAGAATTTATAGGTATAGTACAATCATTTAAATATTTTATTACTGTTTATATAAATAATAGTATTTTGAATATATTTGTTTAAAATATTACAATTAATTTTCCAGTTTCTTTTACTATTTAAATTTGTTTTAATTGTTTGATTTTTTTTTTTTCAAGACAGGGTTTTCCTGTGTATCCCTGGCTGTCCTGGAACTATCTTTGTAGACCAGGCTGGCCTCAAACTCAGAGATCACCTGCCTCTGCGTCCCGAGTGCTTCGACTGAAGGCATGTGCCACCACCCGGCTAATTGCTTGATTTTTTTTTTTTGTCATAGAATATTGCTATATAGCCCAGGCTAGTCTCAAACTTGCTTCAACCTTGAAAGTTCTGAGATTATAGGCATGTAGCAATACACAAAACCTTTTTACTTTCTTAATGTAACTACTAGAAAATTATGTAATAATTCTTGCTATACCTACAAAAATGAAGTAAAACATAAAATCATATTTTAATCTCTCCTTTTATTAACTCTATCAATCTGGTTGTTCCTTGCCTCCCTGAGGCTGCTATATCAAAATGAGGTATTCTACTTCTTCTGGCTGGGGCTCTATTTAAAAAAAATCTCAGTTAGTAGTTTACTTTATGCTTAAGATAAACAACAACAACAAAACCTTAGTGTATTATAATGGACTGCATTATAATTTGGAGGACAGTATTTTGTCACTGATTTCAGCAACTATTTTATTAGCATATAAACATTAAGTTTCCTTTCAGTAGTTTCCAGGCAGAATTTGTTTTTGTTGCTTCCTTTCTCCCTGTTCCCATTCTCTAATGTTGTATTTTCATACTTTTGTATTTTCCCTCCTTCCCCCTGGTTGCATCTTATCGAATTTTATAACCACTACTCTCTCTTATTCCTCCTCATTTGCACATATACAAACATCAAAAGTTAGAATCTGCAAATGCAAAAGAATATATGTTTTTTTAGTTTGACCAGTCCCATTTGTTGAAGATGCTGTCTTTTCTCTAGTATGTATTATTGTCTTCTTTCCCAAAATGCAGGTGACTGTCAGAGCATAGGCTTATAGATGAGTGCCCAATTCTATTTATCAGGTTCTATTACTATACCTGTGTGGTATAGTTGAAAGCTATGATGGGAATACTCCCAGTGGGGTTTTTTATTTGGGGGTATTGTTTCAAATATCCTGGGTCTTTTTTAGTTCCATTTAAAATTTGAGGTTACTTTTCCTTTCTGTGAAGAAATGGAAAAGTTTTAGACTTTTATGGGGATTGCATCAACTCTGAAGATTGCTTTTGGTAGGATATCCATTTTCACAAAATACAATCCTACCAAGCCATGAATATGAGAGTTCTTCTGCCTTCTGATGGCTTCAGTTTCTTTGCACAGTGTCTCAAAGTTTTTATTTTACTTCCTTCGTTAGAGTTATGCAAAGATATTTATTTTTACATTGTTATATTTTATTTCAGATTATTGTGAAAGTATTATTTCTTTTCAGGATATTGTCATTTATATACAGGAAGACTACTGATTTTTGTGTGTTAATTTTGTATCCTGTTACTTTGATGAAAGTGTTTATCAGCTGTAGAAGTTTCCTGGTGGAGTGTTGTGGGTCTTTTATGTATAAAATCAATCATCATCTCCAAAAAGGATTACTTTTGAATTCTTTCCTATTTGTATCCTCTGCTGTCGCTAAGACTTCAAACACTATTTTGAGCAGGTACAGTGAGTAGACATCATTCTCTTGGTTTTGGCTTTAATGAAAATACTGGGAGTGTTTCTCCATTTGGCATGATGTAAAAAGTGGGTTTGTTGTATATTGTTTTTATTTTGTTGAGATATATCCCTTGTATTCCTAGACTCTCCAGGACTCATGAAGAGAAGTTGAATCTTATCAAAGGCCTTTTCTGCATCCTCTGGTATGATCATGTGATTTTTGTTCTTTACTCTGATTATATGGTAGATTACATTTATTAATTTATGCATGTGGAACCATCCTTAGATTTCTGGAATAAAACGGACTTTTTTTTTGATGACATACAGAATTATGGTTTATTTCTCAGTACCCATAGTATACAACATCTCCCATACTTAACTACATATAATGAATCAAAGATGTACTTACTTCTTGTGTATAAAACGGACTTTAAGTGGTGGGAAATCTTTTTGATACGTTCTTGATATGTTTTTGATATGTTTTGTATTTTATTGAGAGTTTTTCCATCTGTGTTGATCAGGGACATTGGCATATAACTCTTTTTGTATTGGGTTTTAATCTACTTTAACATCAGTATAATACTGGTTTTGTAAAATGAATTCAGAAGTATTTCTTGCTTTTCTATTTTAGGGGATAATTTTGAACAGTCCGTTAAAGGCCTATTAGAATTCATTCTGTGATGACTCCATTTGGTCCTGGGTGTTTTTTAGTTTGGAGATTTTTAATGACTGCTTCTGTCTCATTGGTTGTTATGGTTCGGTTTCAGTTATTTATTCCATTTTAAGTTTGGTAGGGTATATGCATCTAGAAATTCATCTCTTTCTTTTATAGCTTCCAGTTTAAAGTAAGCCCTAAAGATTCTATGAATTTTTGGTGTCTTCTGTAATATTTCCCTTTTAGTGTTTAATTTTATCAATTTCTGTCTTATTTCTTTTTCTTTTGGCTAATTTGGCTGAAGGTTTTTAGTTACGTTTGTATCAGGCTTTCTTGGACTGCCAGTCCCAAAACCATGATAAGGAGACTTAACTATGAATTGTGAACCCTTAGCTTAGGCTTATCTCTAGCTAGCTTTTTAAAAAAAAACTTAAATTAACCCATTTGTATTAATCTATGTGCTGGCCCCAAGAATGGCTTTAAATTACATACCGTCCATCCTGCTTTCCTGCTTCCCCCATGTCTGTCTGTCTGGTCCCTGGCTGACTGGCCCCCTTTCTCTCTGACCACCAGCTCTCTCTATCCCTCCTCTGCCTAGCTATTGGTCATTCAGTTTTTAAGTAGACCAATCAGGTGCCTTAGCCAGGTAAGATAAAACAGTAATATATCTTTACATAGTTAAACAAATGAAGCATAAACAAAAGCACCAATATTTACATAGTTAAATATTTTGCAACACAAACAAATGTAACACATCTTTACATAGTTAAATGTTCTGTTCCACAACACAAGTTGATCTTTTCAAAGAACTCTTTCTTAATTCTTTCTGGATTTTCATATCTATTTCATTAATTTCTGCCATGATTTTTGTTTCTCTTCATATCTACTTTGTTGTTATTTTTGTTTTTCCAAGCCTTCAGGTGCATTATTGTTAGTTTGAGGTTTCTAATATTTTTTCATGAAGATATTATGCTATAAACATTCTCTTAGAACTGTTACCATTTTTTCTATAGATTGGGTATTGTTGTTCATTGTCCTTTTACTCTTTTTACACTTTTGGCTCTGTTGGGGGAGGGCTGTCACCCAGCTGCCAAATAAATATATATAGGCTTATTCTTACTTATGATTCCCAGCCTTAGCTTGGCTTGTTTCTAGCCAGCTTTTCTTAACTTAAATTCTACCCATCTAACTTTTGCCTCTGTGCTTTTACCTTTCTATATTTCTGTATATCTTTTCTTTCACTCTTACTCTGTGACTGGTTGTGTGGCTGGGTGGCTGCCCCCTTGGGTCCTTCCTTTCTTGCTCCCTTTTCTCTCTTCTTGTTTCTCCTTGATCTTCTTTCTCTCCTTCTATTTATTATCTCTGGCATCCCTACCTATCCCTCCTGCCTCGCTGTTCAACTCTTTATTAGACCAATCAGGTGTTTTAGATAGGCACAGTAACTCAGCTTCACAGAGTTAAACACATGCAAACATAAAATATGGTAACACAGCTCTGCATCATTAAATAAATACATTTCTTGGAGGCAGAGAAAAGATAGATCATAGTTTCTAATCCCATTTTCTAATCTGTGTATTTATTGGGTAACTGAGTCCACTAATATTCATGATAATTATTGAAAGATGTGTATTCTTGTTGTTAAATTGGTTTTGTGCTGATTCTTTGACCTCTGTTGATATATTGTCCTGGTATATTTTTCTATTGGTTGTGTTTATTCTTCACTCTTGACTGAAATAGTCCTTTCAGTATCCACCACAGAGTTGGCTTAGTGTTCATAAATTCTTTTAATTTGTCCCTGTGGAAATTTTTATTTCTCTATGAATTTCAATACTTTTGCTGAGTATAATATTCTGGATTGACAATTATATTCTTTCAAAGATTGAAACACATTTTTCCATGCCCTTCTGACTTTAAATTTCTGACATATAGTCAGGAGTTACTCTGGTGGGCCTGTTTTTATAAATGACTTGACCTTTTCTTCTTGCAGCTTTCAATATTCTTTATTTATTTTGTTTTTAGTGTTTTTATTATAATATGTTGTGGGCAGTTTCTTTCCTGGCCTTATCTGTTTGGAGTCCTGGAGGCACCAGTATGGGCATCTCTTTCTCATGTGTGAACATTTTTATAATGTGATTTTACTGAAAATAGAGTCTATACCTTAGATGTGGTAATTCTCCTTTTCTCATGCCTGTAATTTGAAAGGTAGGTCTTTTCATGGCATTCAAGAGTTTTCACTTCTGTTCATGGGAGGTTTTTTGTTTACATATAAAACATATTGCTAAATTTTAAAGTAATGTAGTTTCTCTACTTTTTCTTTCACCCTTGATTTTTCCCATGGTCCACTCAAACTGAGGCTTTAATTTGACCTATGTAGTTTTTCTACTTTTGGCATCATTTAAGTTTAGTTTTTCTTCAGTAATTCTGTATCTCCTTGAATTCTGTTTTCATATTATGTATTAGCTTCCTTACTTCATTTATCTCTGATTTATTTTACTCTGAGTTTTCTGAAACCATTTTAATTAGTCTTTTGAATTTCTTGTCTGCCAGTTCTCCAAGGCCATTCTCATTGACTTCTATTATTATGGGACTTTTAGGAGGACACATGTCTTGGATTTTTATGTGGATTTTTACTTTCATTCTGTGTCTTTGCCAGTGTGGTATGTCTCTTGCAGACCAGAAACAACTGTGTTGAAGGAGCTGTGGGCTGTGTTCCTGCCACCCGGCTCCTGGCTGCCTGGCTAGCTTATGCCCCAAAATAATAACACAGAAACTCTATTCTTTTAAACACTGCCTGGCCCATTATATGTAGCCTCTTCTTGGCTAACTCTCACATCTTGACTAACCCATTTCTAATAATCTGTATAGCACCACGAAGTGGTGACTTACCGGAAAGAATTCTAGTGTATGTCCATCTTGGGCTGGAGCTTCATCGTGTCTGCCCTGGAGAGGAGCGGCTTGGCGTCTGGCTCACTTCCCTTCTTCCCAGCATTCTCTTCTGTCTACTCCACCTGCCTAATTTTCTGACCTATCAGACCAAGCAGTTTTCTTTATTGATTAACCAATGAAACAACAAATTGACAAATGACTGTCCCACATCACAACTGTATCTTATTTTTTAATCCAGTGAGCGAGTGTGCATCTTTTAGTCATAAAACTAACAGAATTAACTTTGGGGGTAAACACCGATTCTTGTAATTTTGTTCATTGTTTACGTGGTTCAAATCTTTCCTTTCTCCCTTTTTTATTTTAGGAGTTTGGTTGCTATGTTGAGCATGTTTGGTTCTTTTCTTGTTCTTGTTTGTTATCTAGTCCTTTCATAAAGTTTATTCTTTCCTGAGCACTTGTGTTTGTGACTGTCTTCCTCCTCTATGTGTATATTTCCTTTAAGTGTTTTCTACCATACTGTGTGAGTGGTCATTAATTGCTTTAGTGTGTGCCTATCTTGGAAGGTATTTATTTCACCACTGCTTTTAAAATATGACTCTCCTGGGAGCTAGGGGAAGGGTAGTAAAAGTTTCCAAAACACATTGTATGGATTTCTTAAATAACTAATTAAAATATTCTCAAAAAGAGAATTCACCTGAATATAGTAGTCCTGTTGGACATTTATTTACTCTCACAGCTTAGATTACATTATTTCTTACTGTTCGGGATTTTTGGTTTTTCTGCCAAGATGATGTTATTCTAATGAGTTTCACTTTGTATATAAGCTAACAATTTTCTTTTGTAGTTTTTAATATTGCTTTTGTGGTTTCAGTGTTTTAGCAATGTAACATAGAGAGGTTTGTAGCAGACCCTCTCAGCCTACCCCAAATAATGACATGGAGACTTACTATTAGTTATGAATGTTCAGCCTTATCTTATGCTTGTCCCACTAGCTCTTATCTTTTAATTTAACCTTTTTCTCTTCATCTACCTTTTGCCTCGGGGATTTTTACTTTATTTTTTAAACTCTGCATGTCCTACTTTTCCTGCTTCTGTGGGTGGCTGGCTGATGACTACCTGACTGTCTGGCCCTGGATGTCTCCCTCTCTTTCTCCCTCATTCTCTCTTCTAGAGCCTAAATTCCTCCTCCTTCTTTTTTTTTTATTTGCCAATTCTTTTTTTTCCTTTTTTTTATTGAGAAAATGAGAAAAAAAACAAGTTTCCACCTCCTCCCAGCCTCCCATTTCCCTCCCCCTCCTCCCACCCTTCTCCCCCTCCCCCCACTCCTTTCCCCCTCCCTCTCCAGTCCAAAGAGCAGTCAAGGTTCCCTGCCCTGTGGTAAGTCTTAGGTCCTCCCCTCTCCGTCCATGTCTAGGAAGGTGAACATCCAAACTGGCTAGGCTCCCACAAAGCCAGCACATTGCGTAGGATCAAAACCCCTTGCCATTGACCTTGGCGTCTCCTCAGCTCTCATTGTTCGCCATGTTCAGAGAGTCCGGTTTTATCCCATGCTTTTTCAGTCACAGTCCAGCTGGCCTTGGTGAGCTCCCAATAGATCAGCTCCACTGTCTCAGTGGGTGGGTGCACCCCTCGTGGTCCCGACTTCTTTGCTCATGTTCTCCC